CCCCCCCCCCCCCCCCCCCCCGACTTTTTTTTTAACGAAAACAAATCTGTCAGCTAGGTTTAGCATACCCCATATTCGCAAACAGAGTTTGACCAACAAAATGTCATCTTTCTAACGTGTACGGTAAATATATCGTGAAAGGTTTCAATTTCATCACATCGTCTTTTCCGCATTGCGGCGTTAGAATATTCCAAATTCGTCATTGTTGAGCCATTGTGACGACCCGTCACGTGAAATGGGGTGTAAGATAGAAATTCAGTACACCCCTTTCTTACCCTAGACAGGTCTATCTTACACACACGGAAATGATAAATATATATTTCTTACAAAAACAACATATCAACGCACCTGATAAATGTATGGTTCCCTCTTCATCACAACTACAACGAACCGCTGCAAAATACAATCAAAATTGTCTTCTAACAAAACGTGAAATTTGAAACACCAGATGCTGATATACATATTTTTGTTATGTTAGTATATCTGTATTATTTCTTATTATATGAAAACCATGTGAACTATATCAAAAAGGTTTGCTTTACATGAAGAAATTACAGAATTCTAGCTGGAGTTGACATATCAATTCAAAGCGTTATGGAGTCCTCAATTCAAATTTCACATTGTTGAAGAATTTTCTTAGTAAGTGACGTACCTGATGTTTTGATTGTTGAAGTTGTTTGAGTTACGGATTTTGTGTCCGTTTCAACGTCTGTAGCTGGTTCATGACTTGTGACGTCACCTTGTGTAGTTGTCGTGGTAGTGATTGTTGTTGTTGTTGTTGTTGTCGGTGAATCTGGTGTCGTCGGAGTTGCTGGCTTACTACATGTTATAGTTAACGTGGTATTTGGTAATATCAGATATCCTGAAAGATTATTAGAAATAACACAAGATTCAGTTAATTGTGCTTTAAAATATGAAAAAATAATTAGGTGACAATGATGAAAACATTATAAAAATTAGTTTACATGTAACAGCATTGTCAAATAAAGGAGTGGATAGTTTGTAGAACCTTCTTACGTTTAAACTAGATAAATGAATTCAATGATTAAGGCTAACCATAAATCCACCGATAGTCATTGTTCTGTAGATCGTTAGATAAACCATTAGCGCGTGCCCGATTTTTTTTCGTTTTATTTACCTTTAATATTGAGACAGTACTTTGAATCTCCACAAGGCCCACCACTCCATGTTATGGTCATTGGTCGTGAATAAAGTATTTGTTCCGGAGATGTGTTGCATGTAAAGCTTCTTTCTCTGCCTGAAGATGTATCGTTGACCACTACTTCACTGCCACATCTGGATGTATTTGGGTTCAACCCATTACCGTAACGTTGTGCGTATATGGTAAAGATTAACCGTGCGTTAACAGTACACGAACAAGTTGTCTCCCCTGTTGACCCGGCTCTGTATGTGTCCAGTATCACTTTGTCTGACGTCACGCTGCCGTCTTCACACATCCGGATATCTGTGATATTAGTATATAAATAGAATATAATTATTATAAATCATATAAGAGTGTATTACTATTTCTACAATTACTGCTGTAAAGCATAAACAGTGAAACAACTCTCTAACAACATTGGTTACTGATAGAAATGCCTTAGCCAGAAAGATGAAAAATCACAAAATGGCTGGTTCCTGTATGTTAGTGATCAGTGACATATTACGCACAAAATTATATATAAAAAAAATACTTGTAGTATTTAAGTCTTTTTTTTTTTATCTAATAAGCGGTTTACAAACATTTGAAATCGCAGAATTTCGGTAAATATTGTGGAAAGATGTAAAAATAACATGTGATCATGTAATTCAGAACGGGAACACTGGTTTGAACATGAAATTACATTAGAATTCAGTGAAATCGGGAGTAAGTCTATGCAGGAAGTGACACAATTTGTATTTATCTGATGTTAGCAAAAATCTGTATTCATATTCATAATACGAACTAGTGGAGTCATACCGCAAAATCAAAAGTAGCCCTGGCCCTACTGTTTCAAAAAGCCTACTGTTTGAAAAAGACTAGGGATTTTCATTCTAATTTTTCATTTTGGACTGGTCCAAAAGGCTACCAACGATAAAGGAGTCCTGTTTGACAGAGACTCCGCAATGTGCGAATCCAGTCTTGCCTCGTTGCATTTATATTCTTTGAACCCAGTTGTTTTTTCATCTAAATTTGTTTATGATAAAAGTTCAGCAATGTATAAGTTTCCTCTTTAAAACAATGTGTACGTAGGTAAACAGAACTCCAATTCAAATGCAGTTTTCGGCAGTGGCATGCTATTTTATTCTCTTCGTGCTGTACGATTGAGACTTAGAACAGGCACACAATATGTAATGAACTTTATGGATTTCATTTTTTAATTACAGNAAAGCTGTCATATATTTTTTTACTCTATTGTGAAATATAGCAATCCAAGACAACTGTGTGCACTTGACATCTATAAGTGTCCCTAATAGTTGATGATTTACGTCCCATTGAGGGTTGCCAGGTACATCGTAACAGTTTCCAGTTGCTGTTCCAATTTTTTGGATAGTTATATTCTGGGATCAAACGTTGTTTGCCCTGCGTCTGAAAAAAATGCTTCATTAGCAAATGGCGTCAGGTCATAACGCGCCTAATTCCAACCACTTTGTAATACTCATCTGCCTTCTTAAGCATGAAATGACAACCCAAATGATTTGCCGAGCACATCAAGCCGAAACAACCAAAAAGAGCGTTAAATGTTCGAAAAGGTGACATAAAATACTGGTATGGGAACGAAACTACTCTCAAATTGAACATATGCCAATATAAGTATAAAGCTACCATAAAAGTTACATTATCTGCAAATGTGAGTACTGAACTAATGTCTGAGTCAATAGTTACTGTACATCTGAGTACTGAACTAATGTCTGAGTCAATAGGTACTGTACATCTGAGTACTGAACTAATGTCTGAGGCAATAGTTACTGTACATCTGAGTACTGAACTAATGTCTGAGTCAATAGTTACTGTACATCTGAGTACTGAACTAATGTCTGAGTCAATAGTTACTGTACATCTGAGTACTGAACTAATGTCTGAGTCAATAGTTACTGTACATCTGAGTACTGAACTAATGTCTGAGTCAATAGTTACTGTACATCTGAGTACTGAACTAATGTCTGAGTCAATAGTTACTGTACATCTGAGTACTGAACTAATGTCTGAGTCAATAGTTACTGTACATCTGAGTACTGAACTAATGTCTGAGTCAATAGTTACTGTACATCTGAGTACTGAACTAATGTCTGAGTCAATAGTTACTGTACATCTGAGTACTGAACTAATGTCTGAGTCAATAGTTACTGTACATCTGAGTACTGAACTAATGTCTGAGTCAGTAGTTATTGTAAATATGAGTACATAACTAATGTCTGAGTCAATTAACTATACACATGAGTACTTAACTAATGTCCGAGTCAATAGTTACTGTAAACATCAGAACAAAAATGCTATCAGATATCTCTAGTAGGATGATATATTGAAGGACAGGAAAAAGCCATCAGAATATGCCCTTATTATAATAGAATACGTTTAAAAAAAACTTAAAATTCAACTCAACATTTATACAAGTACTGCACCTGGTAGCAACGATAAATAACTTACAAGGTATATTATTCGATTCTGCAGCATCTGAACACTCACTCCCAGTGGTATCTGCAAAAACAATTTACACAAATGTATCGCATTATTCTTCTATTTATATTACAAATACATTATTGAACAATGTCTTCATAAGTAGAATTTATTTGAATACAAACAGATGATTTAAATGCTGTACTCTGCATTTATGAATAAATCTAATCCGAAAAACATTCTGTCATGATGGATTTGTTTATTCAAATATTTCACGATACATAAACACCAATGTGAGGTTTTAATGAATAAGAAATAAACCGTGTTAAACTCATAACTAGGAATGCAATATAAGGAAAAACTTATTAAAAGCAGTAAATGGATGTAGAAGTCTAAACATGATTATTATTTAATTACACCCTATAGCTATTTTGTAAACATAAACCAATATATTTTCTTTTCTATCGGTAAATGTTTTACCTGTCATCTTTCTTTGAAAATCCTAAATGAACCGTGTTATTATCAATGGTCCTTTTAATGTGTGACGAAATTATGAACCAACCTGTGCATACCTACCTACGTAAAGACAGCTTACATATATATTATTCTGAAGCATCACCATCAACCTATCTGATGGCGCGGTGCATTTGGCTCTCTATAACAACTTATTTTTTTGTGGAAAAGTGTGGAAGAAAAATACTCAATAATTTCAACCTTCGGGATAAGAATTTTGAAGCTTAACCCTCGAACTAACCTCATGCTTATCTTCTGAAATCTAGCCATTGGATTGAAATTTGTCTGTTAACAGCACAAAGGAGCAACACAGTCTATCATTGTTTTCTTCTTATAAATCCATGTTTTCTTCATTTGCTTTTTGTACTACGGAAATAATGTTCTTGCTAGATGTAGTTTCAAACACTTGGTATTTTGCTTGGATGATTAACTTATCTTGCCTATATTTAGTTAAAATAAATGTGTTGCACCCATTGCAATATTTGAAATCTTTGTATTTCTATCTACTTTTAACTACTTTTTAACTTCCAGCGCCTAGCTTGGCATTACCTCAGTTTTGGCTTTAATGTTTAACGTTCGCACAGGCGACTATAATATTTTATTGCTTCTATTGTTTTGTGTTCTCCTTCGTTGCTTTTCGTAATGACTGTTATATCTACAATTGTAGATACTGAAGTAGCATGTAAGCTCAATTTATAGTTATTTTAGGCTTTATTGCAGAAAAAGTTTCGTCTCTGCAGTGGCTAGTATGATAAAACCAACACATAAGTCCGTCGCTGTACGGTATAGGGGTACGTACACTATATATATGTATACGTAAACCTCATTGCTGGTATAGGATTCTTCTAGATATTCACGACATACATATCTTCATACACATATATTCTACTTCCTGATTTATACAAATAATACAGGAATCTCACAGGATCAAAATTAAGCTGAAGAGCAGGAGTGTAAATTGAACGTACTGACCTGAAATCTGTAGAAGCAATATAATGAAAATTAGCAGCATCTTTTGGCTGGTCATTTCTGTTGTACATACAGTGGTATTCAACTTGTGATCGTATAAGTAAACATCAATGCTTGTGTGTAACCCGGAAGAAAGAGACACAGTGTATTACATACTCGGTCAGTTGGTCATGCCTGATAGCGTACAGTAATGATAATGGTGTACGCAGTAGAGTTGACATCTAAAAGCATACCGTTATATCAGTTTTAAAAAAGACTTTGTTAAGCAATATATTTATACAGTATATGCATTAGATTACACCGTATAGCTATTACACAAAATATATCTACATTTGATAAATGATAATGTAATATCCAACGAAAGGCCAAAGTTGAGAATTTATTACCTAGTTCTAAATATATTTAGAGCATTTCGACATGAAAAAAATCTATTAAAAGATATTTTTAATTTGAAATCATTGAGCATTTAAAGGATATATTTATTGTACTCTTACATTTGTAAACAGTATTACAACGAAAGTCGAATATGAAGGAAGTGCTTTGAATGTAACTGAATTTATTACGGTGCTTGTGAAGAAATGAACATGCTGTCTTTCTTGTTATTTTCCCAGTGATGCCTTATGGTCTCTTAAGATTTTTGAATGTTGCCCTTAAGAGTTTAAGCTGTGGTACATTTTTTTCTATTTGATATTAGAGCTTATGTGTTATACGGAAACGCCTAGCATGTGATGGTTCGTTCCTTTCGATAAACATGCAGTATAGGGTTGTCGGGTGGCACAGTGGATAACGCACTCGCCTTTCACCAAGGCGGCCGGGGTTCGATTCACCGATCGTACGTGAAAGGTAGTGGGTCACCTGCTTGACTACGTGGGTTTTCTACAGGTACTCCGGTTTCCTCCGATATTTTACCGTCTGTGCGCTTCTATCCGGGCCAAGAAGAGCTTACATAAGTAATTAACTTATTTTACAATTTTTGTAAAAAAAAAAACCTTATATAAAGTAGAAGAGCATTTTCTTCAATGAACACGAAGTTGTGATATCACTAGGCTGATTAAGTACAAAGTTGTTGAACTGCGGTCCTTTCATGAAACGCGTAGGTATGTCAACACTCCGACTAATTCAGTATATTTGTTTTGTTCAAACGTTCCTTTCATTAATGACGAAGGTTTGTCAACACTCCGTCTAATTCAGAACAAGTTTTTTAACAAGAGTTATGTTCATTGAACATGTAGAATGATAGCACTCGACTGATTTAGGACAAAGGCTTTTGTACAGGCGTTCCTTTCATAACAGATGTAGGCATGTTAACACTCAGTACAAGGTGTCCGTACACGCGTTATTATACTACTTACGAAAAGGTATTCACAAAATTCACACAGGGACATGATAATACATTTACAGTTGGCATGATAGCATGCAATAGTTGACAAAGTTTACGTTAAAATAGGTGTAAGGCTTTGACCCATTAAACAAAACATTGAAATTGAAATCAAGGGACTCAATATTGTTTTATCCATACACGAAAATAAATCAATATTTGAATAAACTTAATTATCATCTATATACTACTTTTTACCACCTACCGGTAGCGTAATAAATTCATTATCATTGGTTATCAGTATGAGAAGAAGTTGAGAACGACTTGAGAAGAACTTGAGAAGAACTTAAGAACGGATTGTCCCATTCCTCAGCACTTGGGAACGTATTTTCTCTTATATGAACGTCTTCTCGCGCCAGATGATAGTCCGTCATACACATAACAAGGTCACGGAAAAATATTGTGAGAATATCAACATAATTTCAGATGTAAATGTGCATATGGAAAAGCCAATGACGATAGGATTGTTTTAAAAATACAACAAAATACGTAGTTTTAAGGTTCATTGTATTCCTCCGCGCAAAACTTCTATTTGTTTACGTTTGTCACCGGCGACCGTTGAACATATTTTTAAATTGAGAAATACATAAGGTAGTAGTATATAGATGAAAAATAGTTTATCATACAGTATTTTCAGTGTTTGTCGTTGGAAAATTTTCCCATCGCTCGATTTTATTCACGTGCTTGCAATGAGAAAATTGTTCTCAAGACCGACAAACCCTGAAAATACAGTGTAATAATCTATAAATATAAATTTTCAGCTATATACGGAAGTTCATGATTTCTTTTTATCTTTGTTTTCATTCTATCCCTGGAATAGTTCCGCTGTCGTCACGCTGTGGTGACACAGTAATATTCCCATAATGAGTCCACTTATTTTTTTTAAAAGTTTTTTCTTTCATCTGTGTCATTTAAAGGATTTTATATATGCCACAGTTTGAAATGCAGTATGGGATATATTCGTCAAAATATGTATGACGTCATAGGTGTTATAGTGTCAGGTTATCGATAACGATATCATTTCATATACATACATTTCCATTGTGCAGCCTCCATGTTAACCTACCAACTGCAAATGCTAAAATGTTATCAAAGAGTCAGGAAAGGGACATCAAAAATATTCTTTGATTTTGTTTTAAATAATTTTCATTTTCTTTACCAAGACACAAATCTCTATTCGGAAGTTAATCGCTATTGAAGTAGTTGTAATATAATTTAATATGATTTAATAGGATAGATGATGGACGCTGTCAATTATTTTCCTCTATGTACATATCATACAACATAACAATTTCAATTAAAAATAACTCCCGTTGTTAGATGTGTAGCTATCTAGGTGATCAAATTTCAGTTAAAATTATTCCAATGATTTTCCAAACTAATTTCAAAGTCTTTAATGTTTAGCCTGTATGACCGCCTCGGAAAGGCTGTTCCATATATCAACAGTTCTGTGGCCAAATGAATGTTTCCTAATATCTAATTTACAATGTTTTTTTCTTTATTTTTTATGTATGCCCTCTTGTTCTAGATGTTGAATCTTGAAGAAAGATGCCAGCAGAACCTTTGCTGTCGTGAAAATTGTTCAAAAGTTTTATAGACGTTAGTTATATATCCCCTCATTCTTCGGAAAATCTTTTGATCATTGCGTGATTAACGACTGACATCATTTTTTTTTCTCAAGAAATTTACAATTTTTGATATTTGCGAAATCTGTCGTAATGTCCCCTGACTCTATCGATTGAAATATTTGTGAAATACTTAAAAAAGTTGTTTCATATCAAGCACCAAAGCATTAGTATATGTGCACAAGTTATTATTTTATAACCAAGAAGAGTGTCACATTAGAGCAGTTCTTGGAGTAGTCTCCCCTGTATATAGAAGATAACGCAACCTATAGGCTTTTCCCTCTAGCTTATAATTACTTACCCTACACAGATCTTCATATTTGATATCGTATTTGCAATATCTATTCTTTAACTGGATAGCAACATTCGTAAAGTATAGGACCGGCAGAGCATATGTCCCGAGTTCGACCCCTAGGAATTCCATTTTTATAATTATAATTGTTCTCATATACTCAAATTTAAGCAACGTAAATTCTGAAAAAAACCACTCATTGATTACAGCTGCATTTATCTGTAGAGAAAAACCTAAACACATATTTCATATTAGTACCAAGAATGATGAAATATCTAAACTTGATTATCTCTGTGATATTTTACTGATTTATCTGATATTGAAATAATTAAACTTTATCAAAGGCATGTTGCTTTTTGATGATTTTAAAAATTAAAAAAAAACTTCAGTCAAATTTCAGGATAATTATCGTTTTAATGTGGCAGCATTTTTATACAGTTAGTTAAGAGACACTATTGGCCAGTCGGCTTTGCAGGTGTGTGCGAGGGGGGTACTCATAAGGGCGAGATCGTCATGTGTCATGGGCGTGCCGATCGGGGTATTGTCAATCAGTTGGATGAGCTTTACCTGAAAATATATAAAGTAATATCCCCATCAACTGTAAAAAAAAATCAGACTGTACCAACGCCATTTGGCTTAGGGTGTTGCAACCGTTAAAGTTGATAGGCAGAGGTTTGAGGCCTTGGTAAAGGCAAATTATGTCGGAACTATGAATAGCGACCTTAATCGGCTATAAGAAGTTTAATCTCATGTTTAACAGAAAGGAATTAAATTAAAGAATGTGGTGAAATCAGCAACCATGAACTTAAGGAAGAGTTTTTTCACAATTAACAGAACTCTCCTGCAAATAGCAGAAACTAATATAGAAAGTTTTCATGGCATGGTACTTAGAGATTCGGGAAATAGATTTACTCCGAGGTTCCTTGGAACGTGAATGTCAGGCATAGTACTAAGGGATTCGGGAAATAGATTTACCTCGAGGCTCCTGAGAGCGTGAATGTCAGGCATGGTACTAAGAGTTTCGATAAATACATTTACCTCGAAGTTCCTTAGAACGTGAATGTCAGCCATGGTACTAAGAGATTCGGGATTTAGATCTACCCCGAGATTCCTTAGAACGTGAATGTCAGGCATGGTACTAAGATTTTCGATAAATACATTTACCTCGAGGTTCCTTAGAACGTGAATGTCAGGCATGGTACTAAGAGTTTCGAGAAATACATTTACCTCGAGGTTCCTTAGAACGTGAATGTAAGCCATGGTACTAAGAGATTCGGGAAATAGATTTACCCCGAGGTTCCTTAATACGTGAATATCAGGCATGGTATTAAGAGATTCGGGAAATAGACTTACCTCGAGGTACCTTAGAACGTGAATATCAGGCATGGTACTTAGAGATTCGGGAAATAGATTTACTCCGAGGTTCCTTGGAACGTGAATGTCAGGCATAGTACAAAGAGAGATTCGGGAAATAGATTTACCTCGAGGCTCCTGAGAGCGTGATTGTCAGGCAGAGTACTAAGAGTTTCGAGAAATAGATTTACCTCGAGGCTCCTGGGAACGTGAATGTCAGGCATGCTACTAAGAGATTCGGGAAATAAACTTACCTCGAGGTACCTTAGAACGTAAATATCAGGCATGGTACTAAGAGATTCGGGAAATAGATTTACTCCGAGGTTCCTTGGAACGTGAATGTCAGGCATAGTACTAAGAGATTTGGGAAATAGATTTATCTCGCGGCTCCCGAGAGCGTGAATGTCAGACATGGTACTAAGAGTTTCGAGAAATACATTTACCTCGAGGTTCCTTAGAACGTGAATGTCAGCCATGGTACTAAGAGATTCGGGAAACAGATTTACCTCGAGGTTCCTTAGAACGTAAATGTCAGGCATGGTACTTAGAGATTCGGGAAATAGATTTACCTCGAGGTTCCTGAGAGCGTGAATATCAGCCATGGTACTAAGAGATTCGGGAAATAGAATTACCCCGAGGTTCCTTAGAACTTGAATGTCAGGCATGGTACTAAGAGATTCCGGAAATAGATTTACCTCGAGGTTCCTGAGAGCGTGAATATCAGCCATGGTACTAAGAGATTCGGGAAATAGATTTACCCCGAGGTTCCATAGAACGTGAATGTCAGGCATGGTACTAAGAGATTTGGGAAATAGTTTAACCTCGAGGTTCATGAGAGCGTAAATATCAGGCATGGTACTGAGAAATCGGGAAATAGATTTACCTCGAGGTTCCTTAGAGCGTGAATATCAGAGATAGTGCTCCTTTCGGCATCACTTGGATTGTAGATCCAGCACTGCTGATGGCTGACCACAGCCATACGATGCTGTAACATACAGACAACGATCTCATTATTTTTCATTTTCTTAACTTGTTTCGCCTTTATTTTATTTTTACGAAAGCGTTTTTTATTTCTTTAATCTAAACATATCTTTAAGTTCGTTTGAATTCTAACATAAATCCTATAAAAGTATCATACATAGTGAAACAGATCAATATTTTAACAGAATATCCAAATAATATAATTTATTAAGAGCTTCGCTGAAAATGATTTTCATTTCCCAGGAGATGCTTTATTTTTAATGCTATCAACTCCATACAATATGTTATGTGTACTGTATTTGACAAGATCTTACAATACAGAAATAGACGTTGCAATCATTGTGTATGTCATTACCACTTCATATGTGACATGATGCATGCAACCATCAGTTAAGGTTGACAACAATGTGTGTGCTATCATTACCGAGTTTTGGTCGTACTTGAAGACAAAGCCCTCCCCAATATGTGGCGGATGGGTTCCATGGTGTCCATGATGATGGTGTGGTGCTGTGGTGGTTGTCATCGCAACGGTCTGAAACAGAACAATGGTACACGTTGTGTTTTTTGTTGTTGAAATTATGTAGGACTCCAGGTTCCCAATGGCACTTAAAATCTGGTAGTAATGATTTGTAGAAGTCAGANCCCCAATGTGGGTTTATTTTATTTTCTTTAATGTAACATATGGCATGTCTTCATATATGTATTCGGCTATCATGGTCACGATTATATTAGTATTGATAAGGAACCTCTGTTAATGACGTCATGTGTCAAAGGAATAAAAAAATGACATATGCATATCATAGACACTCGATAACATGGTTGTATGTATTGTTCACCATATTTTAACCTGCCAAGCAAAAAGATTACTGATTAACCCTAATACTGAATCAATTGCAAATGACAGTTAAATCAATAATAAATGATTTAAAAAGAGTAGAGGAATGTATAAAAAATAATTTCAGCATCAAAACATAGGAATATGTCATGTAATAGAAATGAATTATATTTCATTGGTCGATAGATCTGGGGGGCCATATGAAGAATATATGTTATAATCATATTCAGTTGTCAACCTGTCAATCTTAATATTGCATGTTCATTTTAATCATATCAAACCAATAATATGATTCTCATTGAAATAAACTTTATTTTTTTTACAACAGTTATACAAAAAAGTTATTTCAACTTATATTAATCACTCTTGTTGGCTCGGATGTTAGCGCGCAGGGGACTTAATGTGGGAGGAAACCGGAGTACCTGGAGAAAACCAACGTGTTCGGGTTGGTGAACTCATACCTTATCACGTCCGATCGGGGAATCGAACCCCGGCCGCCTTGAAAGGCAAATGTGCTATCACCTGCGCCACCCGACCACCATCTTTGTAAGATTATATTCAACATGCAAGATGTCATTTTTGTTTAAAACGAACGAAACTTTGTAAAAACTGAAATACATGTATTATGTAATAGAGCAAGCCGTTAATTGTAATTACAAGGTGCATATACGACACATTTTAAAATGAACTCCGGTGTCACGACAGATGACTGTAGATCATTCGAGCAAACTGATAATGTGTGGCTGTCTCTAAATGGACCAAACCTTTAATCAAATCTTTATATAGAATTGACACATTTCGAGTTCGAATGGTTGTTTTGTTCAGTTATTCCCTTGTTGTTAACATGTACTGGAGTGATGTCAAATTCGGTAAAATTACATAAAACATCAACACAAATTACCAAAGCTGAATTTCAAGTTTGACGAGATAGGACAAGAGTAACTGAAGCAGAACACGCACAACACGTTGAAGTATAAATTTCAATTCGGATCTTAACACGGAAATCGATTGAAGTTGTCCGAGTCGAACTAAATTTGCAGAAATAACATAAAATAACATTTAAAGCTTGTTTACCGCCCTAACGATTATTTAAGAAATTTCAATAGCGATTTCATAGAGTAGCGAATTCCAACAGTCTAGTCCTTATTTGACAATGCATGCTTCATTGATGCAACCAATATTTTTTAACTTCGAAGAATTATGATTAAGGGACTGGTTTATAACTATTACTATTATCCATATGTTGTAAAGCGCTTTAGAGTAATTTTACAAATTAAATAGGGCGCTATATAAATATTGTATATTATTATTATAACTGGTACAAATAGTTTTCTTTCTCAGAGTTAGGATACTATTTTACGTGTCCAGGAAACTACTGACTAAATTATACACGTACTAATATAAGAGTATACAATTTCAAAACATGATTCCGGATCATTTTCCATTTGCATACGTGACTGCATACGTATTTATAGACTTAAAAGAAAATAACTAAAGTTTGTTCCATTTTTTTAAAATATGAAACAGCTTTCATGAATATTGTACCATGCAACACTAAGCTGGTATGAATTCAATGCAAAATTAAATGTCAATAAGAAAGTGAAAATTCCATATGTCATGCATGTGTAAGATAAAATACCACAAGAAGAGTGATTAAAAGCATCATAAACAGATACAACTTGTACTCACAACGACGACCATACAGGCCAATACAGCAAGGACTCCGTTCATCGTTGAAGAATGAGAGTAGACACAGGCAAGGTAACTATGTGAATAAAAACAGTGCTGACCAATGTATTTGTACCCAAAGTCTGGGAATGACCTGGATATCTGTTTTATCAGTGGTGTTCGAGCAAATAGGGACGCCACAGCGCCATATGGTCAGATAAAGACTTAAGGCTCATTTAATGCATGTTAAGGATGCCTGCTCGTCATTTGCTTAAACAAATACTATTTTTGATCAACAAAGCAATTGCTTAAAACGTTTATATTTCACAGTTTGCTTGCTACTCAATAACCCTTTCTAAGTGTCACAATAATATGGACGTAATAGATGCCTATCTACCTAAAGTAGCCAGGGTTTCTAACCAACGGAGATTCAATCTACACTAAAGAGCTTTTAATGTATTATATATCCATTTCGTATTAAAGTAACTGCACAACCTATGACATTTTATGTGTAAATATCTTATAAATAGCAAAAAAAGGAGTATTATGTTGAGTAGCCCATTCAAAATGGTACAAAGTCTTGTTTTCAAATATGATGTATGAGAGTATATGGCGATAAAGATTACGCTTCTAAGTTTCTGCACTCTGATTTAGTTACATTTTCTGCGTTATAGAAATTGAATAGAAAATATCATTGTTTATTAATTGATATATTGTGATTTGCATTTGTCACTAGGGATGACACAGGGAAAATTTAATGGTTTCCCGTTTAATAACTTATATATTTGAACCGAATGGTGGAGTATGCAGATACTTTTCTGTCATGTTTTGGAGGATATATATAAGCTGCCATACGCGTGAAATATACATTAAATGTACCGGAAAAACATTTAAGTTCCTCTATATATAAAGCAAGTACTCTCTCACAAGTAGTACCTCATATTTCAATGCGATTATTAAATTATCACTATAATAACTTTGCTTATATCTGTACAAATCTTTCAAACTTCTAATTTTTCAGTTAGTTCTGTGAGGAACAATCCAGCCAAAATGTGACAAAATGTCATCAAAATCTGTCAATATTGATAATTCAGCATGCATCTTTTACCAGCTTTTGTATACATCAAATTGATTGACTTAAAAAACATGGTCTTACGCCATCACATACTGGAGTAATAAACGAAATTAAATGAATTCCAAGAATAATAATGTATATGTTTACTATAAAAATAGTCTGGGTCGATGTGTCTCAAATTAATGGTTGATGAACCGGAGTTCGTGGAAGATACCCTGACAGAACCACATGTTGTGCAGTGAAAGCATACTCTTTTAAATCGCCGGATTAAGCCGCCTGTTTTCCTTTTGGTTTTTATTAAATGGAATCCGCCGCAAGAGTGTGACTGAGAAATCTCAATCTATTTATTGATTATGTAATCCGAGGAACGCGTTGAGCCGAGGGTTGGGCATTCAAGGATCTCATCCCGAGGGTTAGGATTTCAAGATTGGTCTCCAGCACACACACAACGTAGCTGTGATTTGTTTCTACTATCCCTTATAACATATTCGGAAACACTGGTTTCCACAAGTTGCAATCTGTATTTTTATCCTGATTTGGAATCAACCTTTTTATTTATGGTGAGATGGTTTTAATCTCTTGACGACGTCGTATTTTTTCCGCGTGCCATCTGTTATACATAAATGGATGACAGAGAAATCATAGCATAAGGGGTAACAGAGTAATATTGAATGGGTAAAACGGAAGACAACTCAGTGGAATGTTAGAGAATATGATATCTTCTGTGTTGGGTTGAGTCTCTCCACTTACTCAGTGATCGTTTGGTATTAACTATGGCTTTGTCCGAATATGTTCTTGCTATGTTCTGTAAGTTTCTATGTATATTACATTACATGGTATTTGATTCTATCTGCTCCGATAACAAGAATGTTGCTTGGTTAGTGTTCAAATATATTAACGTTATTGTCCAACATGAGATGTGTAGCTTTAGTACGTAGATGTGTGGAATGTTTCCTCTTGTCCTGACACCAGACATAGACATTTCATGGCAGTCACTAGGCAGTGACTAATCAACAAAATGAGCGGTCTCGAATGCTTCTAAATAGGAAAAACTATTCCGTTTTCGGTTCGGATCAGTAAAGCGCCGTTCATTTGGGAAATTTCCAACGATTGAAAATCGAGTACTCAATCAATGAAATATAGCAGCAGCTGGTCAAAATAATAAATATTCTATAGTTGTATACCATATAAATAACACATCTTGCCAAAACTTTGGTTTAATTTTGAGAAGTTCGGAGGAGGGAGGATGCAAAGGGTGAACCCCTTTTTTTCTGGTGCTTTATCACCTATACAGCTCTGAACTGGAAATCTTGTGGACAATGTATGGTGCAATCATTATTTGAAGCTACCGAGCGGGCAATGTGTCGGAAAAACTGTGGTTGAATTGCAGTCGTAAAAATTCCATAAATACTATAAACATATAGGTTTGAAATGATTTCAAATCAAACGACTAATAGTTACGTCAAGTATAAGCTCTCAACAGCTACGAATCTCACAAGAAGCAGGATTTAGGCCTTGTTTACGTCACTATTATGCATACGCCATTTCACGAGAGGTCACGAGAGGAGAATCCAATGGATAACGACTTCATCTTCTACTGGGTTTACACAATAAACATACTAAGTGTTACCCTTAGTTGATTCATTTCTCAAATGTTAAATAAAAGTTTCGCAACTCTCAGTTATGGACACTCGTTCGCCATTGTACAATTTCGCTTCATTGCTCTTTAGATCAGCTTCCAGCTTTTATCCTTGTAACGCCGATTTTGCCTGCCTGCTTGGTCGACTAAGTTTTAGCAAGGACATCGCCATTATATCATACGTGTCTGCGCATACTTAATATAATGTGAAATATCGATTTCTTTACGGCACGTAAAAAAATAAAACAGAATTCCTTTTTAAGGTGATATCTTTGATACGTTTCACTTCCTGGGTATGGGATTAACAGAAAATTAATAACTCCTGTTATGTACGAAAATGAAATAAATACCAGATTTATCCTATTGATAAGAAAAAAGAGCGAACTTTTATCGGTATGTTACCTTTAAAATTGGATAAACAAGTTAAATGCTGTCAACTTTTAAGATAATAGTTTATTTTGGTGTTGCTAAATTCTTGCTACAATTAATTAAGATTCATGATCGGCCAACCAGATTTGCAGGTGTGTGCAAGGGGAGCACTCATAAGGGCGAGATCGTCATGTGACAGAGTCGTGCCTGTGGGGTTGCTGTCAATCAGTTGGATGAGTTTTACCTGGAATATATATGCAAAACACAATTTATGTTCAAATATGTAAAAAAACGAAAAACAAAAATCATGATGCCATGGTAGCAACGCTGTTGGTCTTTTTTTTTTGGTTTGAGCGACTGCGAAGCAGAGGGTACAGCAATTCAAACCTCCGATATCACCTAAACCAACACTGGTGACAGTTAAATTATCTCAGGCAATGTCTATTGGATTAATTCTATCTCCAAGTATGTATCATTGTGTGTGAAGATCTGTATGATTATTCCTGAATACATATTAGTGTTTTTCTATTCAATCAATATTCATATATAATAGTTAGTGGATTACTGGTACTGTATTCCCTCTTCAAGTAAGTTTTACAGCGTTCTGTTCGATTAATTTATTTTCAAATACTTTTCTTTCCAATCAAATTCAAGTGATATGGGCAGGTGGATTATTTCTGGATCAAATATTATTATCAGTAGTATTTCAATGAATTAAAATTATTTGTTCATTTTAATTATATTTAAATGTACTATATATGTAATAAAATCATCTGTTTTAAATAAATCGTTGATTTTCTTCGAAAAAGTCCTGGTGCTCATTTTTGTTACCTGTAACTGTCCATTATCAGACCAGTAGCTATTTTTACATAATAATGAACGGCTTTGGATCAATAATGGACAGGTATAGGTACTTCATTGTACATTCTACTATATAATGTAACAAAGGATGATGTCATAGCTGTCTCTA